GTGTGGTGGTGGTGGGTGTGTGTGTGTGTGTGTGTGTGTGTGTGTGTGTGTGTGTGTGTGTGTGTGTGTGTGTGTGTGTGTGTGTGTGTGTGTGTGTGTGTGGTGGTGGATGGTTAGCTAGATGGAGATAGAGATGGAGAGAAGAAGAGAGAGATTTTGAAAACTGTGTACCTTTCATCGAGATTCGATCTTTTTCAAACAATTTTTATTCAGAGACACCGATAACGAAGTTTAAAATCTGTTTCTTTCAATTGTGATTTTACGTACCTTTTTGGATATTTTTAGACATTTTGTAAATCTATTGCCGAAACGAAAGCACTTTCGCCCGTGTAATTTTTCAAGTTTTTCATCAATTTCTTTAGAAATTGCGAATCTATAATATTGCGTAAACGAAATCTCGAGACGATTTCATCAAGTTTGCCTTTATTTTACCGATTCGTTGATTACTAAATACGATTCTAGGTATTTTCAGCTCGATAACTGGCCTTCCTTCTGAGCCGATGCGAATTAACTCTTCTAATATGTCATTTCTGCTTTCTATTTAATTTGTTCGTTGCGTGTCAGAGTGACTGGAATCAATTTGAACTCTGCCAGCATTTCTCAATAGTGAATTGAAAAAATGAAGAAAAAGGAAAGATAGACATAAATCGCGAAAAATAAAAAAATATCTGTTCTTCGTGACATGAAATAGCATAGATAGTGATGAAATATCAAAAATAATAATCATATTAAAATATAATAAGCAAATAATCTCTATCTTCATCCGTTAAAAAATGTCTCTCTAGCTTCTAATACGGGCGATACACTTTTTTCCCTTACAGGCGAATGTAATTATAATGTGATAGACGATCCATGTTATAGACGAACAGTTTTTACCAAACTTAAATCCTGATTCCCACGCTCGTTCTTTTTACGAGGCGCGAAGATACCGGGTGCGCGGAATTGTACCGCGAGCGTGATCCCGATACAATCTACTATTGTAATTATTGTGCGCGATTCTAATTATTATCTAATTATTATCTCTAAAGAAATAAGATGCGGAACGACAACATGTAATTGGCTGGCCATTTTTTTTCAACGGATGCTCGAGTTCGTCCCGCAACATTGCGCATAAACACGCATTTTCGCCATTAACACGATCGTTACTTACGATCCGATCATTAGAATCGATTTAAAAGAAGAATCGATTAAGTCAGATTAATTGTCTATTCATGCACAAACGCATCTAAACTCTTTCGAATTATCTTCGCAAAATACATTTCTTATACGTTGAACAAATTCGCATCAAATTTATGTACAGTCATGTGACAAAAGGCGATTAGTATTTGGCAAATACTGCTATCAACGTTTATGTGATTTATTTGAAATTTCAATTAAATTAAATCAAATTGAGCGATACATGATTTATTTTCATTTGAGCCATTTAAATTATATGTTGTGCAGATTGACGCAACCTGCACAACCATATTGACTGCGTCCGTGATTGCAGCAGTCTCAATGACACGAATATGAATCAAGGAATGTCAAGATTGCCAAGGAGTACTTGGCGAGTTGGGTGCAACCTAGTGCAATTGCGAACAGTTGCGATGGCGATGATTGTGGATGGTCTCTATGGGATAGTCGCGAGTGTAACGTGACGTTTACTTGGTTTATCACCTCACGTCAGCTGACTGGCTCAGACTGGCCTAATCAGATCTGATTGTTAAGTCAAAGACGGATCGACGCCAATGTTACAATCAAAATATTAGATACGTGCTTTGCAATATTAATCGATTAATCATGCACGAATTTCATTCGTAAATCCCGTACGTTTAGGTTAATCATCGAATTATATTTGTGTAACAATTAATGAAAATTGAATAAATAATTAAATGTTTTCTAATAAATTTATTTCGAAAATGCTTGCATTATATATTTTTAGTGATACGTGTGTGACCCTGTGTTATCGGATTACGGCTTCGAATTATGGGAGTGTACGGCTTGTGGAAATTGCTCGAAGCATCCGGCAA